ATATTTATTTATATATATATGCATATGTAGCTGTATGTGTATGTACATATATAGACAGACAAGGTTCCTTGTTCAGAGTTGGATGTCTGTTGCCAAAAGTTGAAGAACAAGATAGTTAATCTAACTGGAGAGGCAGTGAAGAAAACTCTACTCCTGACTACTTTCATTTCTATTTTGACATACGAATAAAATGACATCCATTCCTAAAGGAACAAAGATATTGCTCTATTACAAGCAGTTTCTAGCTGAGCTCGAATTCCCTGTAAGGAATAAGAGATTTGCTGCAGCTCAAGGAATCCAGAAGGAAGGAGAATGAGGGTTGGAGTATGCAGCAAACTGGGCAGAGAAGGTGACAAAAAAACATGTGCCCCAGGACAGGGAAGAACAGGAAGCGAAGGAGTTGATCAATCTCTTGCCTGAGCCAAATGCCCTGCATATCCCAGGTAGCTCTGGAGTTCTACCTTCTGCTCACCCTCAGACATCCACACAACAGACAGCCTCTCTCAGTGTTAATTTCCTCTCACAGGAAGTTACTGCACAGTGCAACTCCAGAAGAAGAGAGCCAGCCACCACCTCCCTTTCACTTCCTCCTGTGGGAAGGTTAACACAATTCCAACCAAGCCAATCTTATTGTTCCACAATCTCCATTTGAATTAGTTTTCTTCAGAGAAGCTCCAAGCACTTCAGCTAGAATGTACATTCCTGTTTCATTTCCCAGGTTTGTGAGGCTAGGCAAACCACAGATTCCAATGTAGCCTTTCTGAGACCCACTTGCACAGAGCAGTCATGTAAACTATTGCTGTGGTTTGGCCTTAGCATGGCAACAAATCTCTCTTACTGCAGTGCACAAACCCCATGGACACAAGGCTGACCCTGTACATTTCTACATTCATTCTCCCCATACCTGCCACCAGTGTGTGGTGTCCTCTATTGTATTTTGCAGAAAATAAAAATAGAGACACTAATAACTTGCAGAAAACCACACTAAATCAGGGAAATGTCAAAAAAGGTACCTAACACTAACGTGATATCACACACCACCACCTTCATGTAGGCTACTTAGGATGGGAGATCATACAGTTAAAATTTGGTAACAACTTTGCAACATCCAAGTATCTGCTCATGACTATATGAAAGTTAAGGATGAAATGTCATTTGAAGATGTAAGATGCACTTAATACTCTAAACAAGTTTTCCTGGCTTTAAAGGATTGCAATTTTTTTCAATCTCCTCTTGTCAATATCATCTCTCATGCCCAGGGTTTGGAAACACAATCTTACCAGTTTTTGCAAACAGGAAGCAAGTAAGAGAGTCCCCTCCTCTGTATGCAAAGGCAGCTTCATGACTTCTAGCACTTAGGAATGAATGAGAAAACTGGAATTTTGAGTTCTTTTTGTCTCATGATCTCATGGCTACTCTGAGAAATGTTCGGGCTTTTTAGACCAAAGTTGTAGTTGGGCACTGGTGTCTCATACCTGTAATACTAGTTACTTGGGAGGCTGAGATCAGGAAGATCGAGGTTCAAGATCAGCCTGGGCAAATAGTTTGCAAAATCCCATCTGCAAAATAACCAGAACAAAATGGACTGGAGGTGTGGCTCAAGCAACAGCTTGCCTGCTTTGCAAGCTTGAAGCCTTGAGTTCAAAGTTCAGTGTCCTCCCCCCCAACAAAAGAAAAAGTTTTAATAATTTTTGTTTACTTCATGGGGTTGTTCTAAAAAAATGGACTATGAAAATCTAGAAACACCACAAGCAACAAATGTTATTAATTTCTTTTAAAATAACTGCTTCTCTTTCAACTTATTAGAGTTTTATTATCATATGAACCCAAAGCACTTTGTTAGTTATCTTAAACATCTGGAGAGATAGCTATCTGGCAGACTACTCCTTAGACAGGAAGTATTTTGAGGGGGCAGTTTCTGGTTGGATGTAGTATTGCCTGGATCTGGTTCATGAGAGTCTCACCAAAGTTGTCTTTCTCCAAAGGGTTGAAGTCAAAGACATGAGTAATTAAACAATGAACAGCCCGTGAGCCTTAGCGATAGCTGGTCCCTCTGCTCACGGAGGAGAGAAAGGAACTCAGAAATGACATGTACTATGTTTCAGACTGCTTCTGGATAGTGACCAAGCCAGAATGGAAACCCATGTTTTCTAACTCTAAATCTCAGCTCTCTTTACCACATTTTGTTCATTATCTATAGATCAGCCTTTCCTGGCTTTTCATTTCTATTACACTGGGTAATCCATTGCTAGAAGTCATTAATGTCCTTTCATAGTCTATGCACAGGCATCAAAACTCACAGAAGCCAGGCTCAGGGTTCACATCTGTAATCCTAGCTACTTGGGAGGATCACCATTTAAGGCCAACCCTGACAAATAGTTCATGAGACCCCCCGCCCATCTCCAAAATAACCAGAGCCAAATTGACTGGAAGTGTGGCTCCAGCAGCAGAGCGCCTGCAAGCAAGAAGCCCTGAGAGCAAACCCTAGTCCCACCAATTAAAAAAAAGGAAAGAAAGTGAGAAACAGAATTCACAGGGGATTCCAAAAGGATTCTTCCTAAGGGGACCTGCCAAACTTTGCTTTAGAGGCTGCAGGTTCCAGGACGCCCTGGGAATCTCTCACACGTGCCCAACAAGGCAGTTCTGAGGTCCCCGGCCTGGGCACAGATTTCACGCTGGATAGCAACTCTGCAGGGAAAATCCATCCCCCTGGGCTTTTCGTTCACATTGGCGTGTATGAGGTTTAAATGCATGAGCTGTGGCATCTAGCTGGCTGCCCTCAGCGAGTTATTTAAATATCCTGTGTCTCAGTTTCCTCTTCATAAAATGGAGATGGATAATGTACCTCCTAGCATGGCATGAAGTTTAAAGTAATGCATGCGAAAAATGTAGCCTGAGCTCCCCACAGAGGGATGTGAGAAATGACCGATCCTATGAATATTACCACTACTCCTCTGAAATGAAACCGCCTTCAAGCACGAATTGGGCTTTTTGATTTTGCCATCCACCATGTTTTGTAACCTAATGAACAAAAAATGCTTCCGTCTTCTTTTAATTTTTAGAACTTTTGCGTGATACCCTGACCACAAGATCTAGGGCAATGACTCGTTTATATGAATGGTTTTCCTTAATTAGCTATTAACTGAAGAATATACCTCCAGCGGCAGGGTAAATTAACACTGTGTATGAAAACACGTTGAACACTTCTAAACTAGGAGCAATAAATTCATGTTGAAAGCGCAGCCAGTAACTTGGAGCAGATCGTTTCACTGTTATTGGCTTCATATAGCTAATGAAACCCTTTTATAGTGAATAGGGGGGAATAGATAAGGATTGACTACAAAGAGAGGTTGTGTTATAGGGCACAGTGCTCCCCACCTGAGAACAAGAGAACAATCCTTCTTCAAAGGGGAGCGGGGAACAGAACAAAACCAAAGCCCTGTCACCCCTTCCTGGAAGGTGCAAAGTCGCCCGGTGCACGGGCGTTGGTCTCTTACCACGAACTCCTCCAAAGTCTGGTAGATCTTGCCCCGGAATTCGCAGTAGTTCTTCCTCTCCTTGCACTGAGGACAGCACTGGCTCGTGTCTACGTGGATGCAGCGTGGGTGCAGCCGCGGGCACTCGGGCTGTGCGCACAGCGGCCCCTCCTCAGTGCACAGGCACGGGCAGGCTGAGGGACCCGGTGCGAACTTCTCCCCGATCGCGTATACAAAGCCACTCTCGTCCACGCAGCCCTTGCCACGGTAGTCTGGGTAGGCGTACTCCTCGGGCAGCTCCGGAGTGGGCGCAAAATCTGGGCTGATAGCGTCCTGTGCCGCTGCAGCGGCTGCGGCCAGGGTATCCCCCTGCGGAGTGTCGCCGCGGGGCCGGACCTGCAAGTCCCCAGCCTTGACGCCTCCGCCCTGAGCAGCCCAGGCCTGCTTCTGCTTGCTCCACGCCTCCCTACTGGCGAGTCCACGGCTGTTCTTGCTTTTCCAGTCCCGGGCACTGGCGCCCTCGTCCCTCGCTGCGCGCCCGAGCTCGTTCACCCGCCCCGGACTGTCCCGAGACGCGTGCTCGCGCTTCTCCTGGCCCGGTTGCTCGGGCGCCTGGGCCAGCTTCTCCAGTGGGATGCTTGGACTGCACAGAGCCACCATCAGGCAGCAGGTGACCAAGAGGGAACTGGAGAGAGCGCCAACTGCCATCGCAGTGGAGCTGGGCATCCCCTACCACGTCCCGACGGGCGGGCGGGCGGGGAGTGTGGATGAGGGGGCGAGTCGCATTCACAGCCCGGGGGCGCGCCGCCGCCAGCCGGGAGCCGCCGTCCCTGTGGAGAGAATAGCAGCACAAACTGAGCCCCGCGGCCCGCGCGCGCCCCGGCTCCCCGAGGCCCCCACCCGGCCCGGCGCCGCCCGGACTCCGGCATCGAGCTAGATTAACAAGCTGGACCCTAGGGGCGGGCGCAGCCTGCCCAGTGTCGGGTTCTTAGACATCTTAGATTATGGTGGGATACACTGGGAGTCAAGTACAAGTTAAACACGGGCCACGGGGTCTCCTGCGGTCGTGGTTAGTGACCTGGTCACTGGCCGCAAGCCGCGGGAATGCAGCGAGCCGGGCCCGGTTTCGAGCTATAAAGCTTGCATAGAAACCACATCATCCAGGCACACAGCTGTCCTTTCCTAGGTCCTAGCCTTATTTCTCGAAGATTTAATGCAGAATTCCACAGTGGAGTTGGTGTGTGTGTGTGTGTGTGTGTGTGTGTGTGTGTGTGTGTGTTTGTGAATGTCTAGAAAGATTAAAGATAAACCCTTCCTCACTTGCCTGGAGCGAAATGAACTGGGAAAGGGGGGAGGAGCGGCATAACAAGGCTCCTCCTAGGCCTGGGTTACTCTTTCGTAACTTCTTAAATGCTTCCAGAGAGTCCAAACCCCCTCCCTACTCTGGCCTCTGCTGCCTGGAAGGTCCCTCTCCTTGGTCCCGCCTCAGACCGCTAGATTGGAGGTGCCCCTTAGCCTGCCCCTGAGCCCGGCCCAACACTGAGCCACTAAGAGGTGACAGGTCGCCCGCCGCAGAGCTCAGTCTTGGAATTGCTTTTCCCAGGAGGGGTCTTGGCGATGAAGCAGAAGTGCCTTGGCAAGATTAAGGTGGACGGTGGTTTAGGCTGGAGTCCTAGGGCGCAGGGTGAGGGATTTGCCTATCTCACTCGAAAGATACCCACCATCCTTTTCCGATTCCAAAGTTTCTGCCCCTCAAAGGAGCCAAGAACCCAGACACCGGTGAGCAACGATAACCCAGACTGCCTGGCTCTCCCAAATGCCTACCCCTCCGGGCGCTCAAGTGCATCTGTCCCCCTCCCCCTCAACTCTCTCCATCAGGACTCAAGCCATGCCCGCCCTCTGCTCCCTCCAATCCCGATCCAGCCGACCTCAGCCCGCGGCGAATCGCCCATATTTACAAACTTGGGCGACGGGGAAGGGGTCCTCTACAGCAGCTGGGTGGCGGAATAGTGCCCAGTGCGCAGCGTGGACACGCGACATGCACCCTCACCCCTGCGGAGCGGCGCCCAGCCTACATACATGAGCGCAGGACACGGGCCGGACGCCGGGCTCGCGGCGTGCGCGGGGGCACCAGCGGCGGGCGCGGCCTCGGGGCACCAGGGCCCATCCTCCGGGCGGGTTGGGGACCACGGAGAGCGCAGTCCCACCTGCGCGCTCAGCCCGGCGGCTGCACCCGGCTAGGGCATCTGCCCCGGCTGGCTGATCATCGCCTTAGGGCGGCCGGTGGTCTCGGCCCCCAACTCGGATCAGTGCCTGAGCCGCCCTCCGCAGCTTATCCCCGCGTCTCCGCGACGAAGCACGCCCTTGGGACCCGCTGGAGCCCCGCCTCGCTCTTCCCTGCGGGCGGGCTCGGGATTTCTGTAGATCAAGCAGCGGAGACGTCTGGGCAGCCGCCGCGCCTCGCAGGGACAGGAGATGGCCAGAGCGCGTCCGGCTGGCGAGTGGTACGCAGGCTGGCGTGGAGCCGGTGCGTCCGCCTCCAGCCTCCCATCTCCTGTCGCAACTGCCTCCCGGCCGGCTCGCGCCCCACTCCCTCCGCAGCTGCCCCCGCTGGGTGGCCGCTGATCAACGGGTGGGAGGGTCTCCCGCCGCACGCGCTCCCCCGGCGCGGACGCGCAGCCCACCTGTCAGTCGCGCGCGGCCGCCTGCCCCCCTCCCGGGCTGGCCGCCAGCCCTGCCCCGTTGCCATTCTCCCGGTTTGGCACTCACTCTACCGGACCTTTCAGCTTGGCTTTTTTTTCTCTTTATTCTTTTCTTTAATTTCTTCCTCCCTAATTGGCCCCCTCTGGCTTTCCTCTATGTGGACAGCTTGCTTTTGCCACTGTTGGAAAATGCAAACCAAACTCTTCCGCCTGTAATCCGCAAAGGTCCTGTTAATTTACACTGCTGAGAGATTTTTTTTTTTTTACCTCTTTACAACCACAAACCCAGAGATACAGATACATAAAGTGAGAAACTTACATAATTTCAAACAGTGCACATTCCGGCTGCCTGCTGACTCTATCCTAACCGTAAACACAGTTTTGATTAATTTGGTGGAATGTTAAATTGTTCTTGATCTTGATCATAGAATTTGCTTCTTTTTCTTGGAAAAAGGGGGAAAAGACAGTGGCACCTGTTCAAATTAACCTCTGAAATAGGATTTTTTTTTTTTTTTAGTACTGGGGCTTGAACTCAGGCCTATACCTTGAGCCATTCCACCAGCCCTTTTTTTGTAATGGCTTTTTCAGAGATAGGGTTTCGCAAACTGTTTCGCCAGGACTGGCTTGGAACCTCCTGATATCTGCCTGCTAAGTAGCTAGAATCACAACCACCGGCACCCAGCTGAAATGGGATTTTTATAGAAACATCCATTTCCAAGGTTAGGACCCATGACCCACATCATCTTAGAATACCTGAAGCTGGTCACATGGTTAAAAACACCCAACTTTTCTCTGTAAGATCAGGCCCTCTGCTGTGAGAGGTGGACATGCTTTGGGACAAATTATTGTCCCCACTTCTGAATAGTGACCAGCCCAGGTTTAAATGAGGTGTCAGAAGGAACCTAGAAGTGTGGCCATTCTGGCGGATTTTTTTCCTTTGCGTTTCTTTGCACAACCACCACCAAACCCCACAAATAAATCAAGCCAAATAGGGTTGGATAGAGGCTTTCCATGTCCAGGATGACAAGAGAGCTTCTGCTGTTGCACTCTTTTCTTCCTACCACCCAAGAGTAGAGAAGGGCCACCTTTGCCTGTGGACTGTGGCAAGCCCGGGCTTTCCAGATACATTTCACAAATTCTCATCAGTTGTGGCTTCATGATGACTCTAATACAAATGCTACAAACCTTTTAAAACTATTCCAGGAATTGGGGGAGGGGGAATAGAGGTGAACAGTAGAGGGGGTGAATTCAAACATGATATATTTGATACATTTTAAGAACTTTTGTAAATGCCACAATGTACCCCCACCCAGCACAGCAATAAAAAAAAAATGGGATTCAGTGTGCTCATAAAGAATGTGGGAGCTGGGTCCTCTGGGGTATCATGTGATACTATTGTTAATGGTGCTGGTGCAGTATGTGATCAGAAGACTTCCAAATTCTTTGCTCCACATGGAAGAACCCACGTGGGTGTAAACAGAGTTTATTAAAAGTTAGGGAAGGGAATTACAAAGGGGAGCATGTCAGGGACCAGGTGGAAACCTGGAGAGTACATTTCTGCTCTGCAGGTGCTTTTTTTTTTTAATTTTTTTATTCATTTATTCACATATGCATACATTACTTGAGCCATTCCTCCCCCCTGGTCCCCCCCACCCCCTTCATCTTTACCCCCCAATCCCCTTGCTTCTAGGCAGAACCTGTTCTGCCCTTAGGTCTAGTTTTGTTGAAGAGAAGACATAAGCAATAAAAGAAAGATGCAATAAAAGCGTTTTTGCTAGTTGAGATAAGGATAGCTATAAAGAGAGATTCCTAGCATTGCTTCCATGTACAAATGTGTTACAACCCAAGTTGATTCATTTCTACCTGACCTTTTCACTAGTTCCTGATCCCCTTCCTATATTGATCTCTGTCGCTTTAAGGTTTCTGTATTAGCTTCTCTGCAGTGGAGACATCAAACACTTTCACGTTTTGGGTCTGCAGGTGCTTTTAAAGCATACCATAACCTATGGAAAGGGAGGAACCAGGTGATTTCCACCTAATAATCAATGAGTGGGAAGGGGAATTGGTGCTTCCCAATCCAAGTGAGGTTATGTCATTACCTGGCTTCAATGACCTTAGAGCCAGGGGGAGGAGCTGGGAGGACTCCCATATACACCTATGTTAATTCTCAGGTGCCCCACCCATGAGGAAGGAAGTTCCATTCTTTCTAACTTATTGTAACTACAGTGGAGCTCTTAAGGCATGTTAGGAGGGGTCCCAGTCCCAAACTTTCCCTAGTTCTAGCCTCCCTCACTATCACAATATGCTTTTATAGAATCAAGGTAATCATTGCTAGTTGCCTTATTCATTGGGCAATTCTGTTCCAGTCATTAAATATCCTGTGTCCTCTGTTTTGCCAACAAGTATTCTTTTCTCACAAGGTCACAAGAGAGGGTCTCCAAATGCACAAGACTAATAAGAACCTATAACATAGACTGATAGAGTGACTCAAGTGGTAGAATGCCTGCCTAGCAAGTGTGAGGCCCTGAGTTTAAGCCTCAGTACTGTTAGGGTGAACAAAAGGAAGCCATGTTAGAACTGGTTAGTCTCCCTAGAAGATGACTTACTGGAAACTCTCCACCTGGCCCTAAAGAAAAATTAATATCCACTGTTACTCATTTACTAGAAACTCCCCACCTGGCCCAGAAGGAATGACCTGCCCATCAGCCATTATCTCAAGGATCAGAGGGCCATTGAGGATTTTCTCACCCAGTGACCTTCCTAGGACTTCTCCACCGACCTCCTATATCTACTCCCAATCTGTAAATGGCTGTAGGCTCCAGCTCTCTTGCTGGGGACCCCCTCTGCAGGAGCTTTTCTCAATAAACCCTGTGATGGCCTTGAGCTGTCTCCCCTCTTCCTGCCCATCCATTCTGTGTCTCTTTTATTCTAACAAGTAACACCAAAAAAGAAAAAGAATCTATAATAGTATGTGTGAAAGAATCTAACTGAAAAAATGCTAGGGGTCCAATTGAGGGAATAATGATGTATTTATTGGTCCTGCCTGAATCACAGGTCCTTTTGAGTTGTCCCTGTCTGTGGGGAACAGATTATGAGAAGTCTATGAGGACTTGACCTAAGCA